TTTGGTCCTCAGGGCCACGAGGAGGGCACTGGTGACCCTCTCGCCACCCTCAGGGCCTCCTGTCCAGATAGGTCAGAGCCAAGGTTAGCAGGGACCACAGGTGGATGTCCAGGGTCTTGTGGGTCAGCAGAGGGGTGACCAGGCAGTGTTTGATGTAGAAAGAGGCCCAGCTGCGCCCATGGCCCTGACCCAGTAGGGAGCTGCACCCATATCCCAGCCCGCCTGAGTCCACAGTGTACCCTGTCCCGTGTGGCGGTCCCAGCCGCACCTGGGTTCCTGGGCAGGAGAGGGTTAAGGAAACAAGGAACAGATCTAATTTACATGCAAAAGCTTCTCCATCCCTTTGTCCTGACACCCCAAGGCTTGTGCGAGCCAATCAATATTTTATGAAGACGTTTCCTGCCAGCCTGGGGGGGCACAGGTTCCTTCTGCAGGGGGAGGAGCGGGAACTCGGGTCTGCAGCTGCAGCCCTGCGTGTCTTCACAGCTGAATCCTCCTGAGCTGACCCGTGTGCTCTGAAAGAGACCCAGGCTCCTCTGATGCAGGACCGGAGTGAAGCAGGCAGGGAGGCTCCTCAGCGTGCAAGGGCAGCGCACGCATGCCGGACACTTGTGCCTGGATGGGTGGAATGTGGATGGGTGGACAGGTAGATGGAGGGATGGAGGGATGGATGGACAGACTGACGAATGGAGGGATGAACAGATGGATGGGTGGATGGATGGACAAAAGTATGGTGGGTGGCCAGGTGGATGGGTGGATGGGTGGATGGATGAATGGGTGGAAGGACAGGTAAATGGGCAGACAGATGGAGGGATGAATATATGTATGAATGGATGGATGGTTGTATGGGTGGACATTTCGGTGAATAAATGGGTAGATGGATGGATGGGTGGGTGAACAGGTGGATGACTGGATGGGTAGATAAATGGATGGATGGATGGACTGATGGACAGATACATGGGCAGATGGGCAGATGTATACTTGCTCTGTTCCAACAGCTGCTGTTGGAACAGAGCAAGTATACATCTGCCCTGAGAACTGTACTGGTGTCCCATGGGCCACCAGAGGCCCAGACCTTGGAGTGGGAGGCCAGGCCCTGGTGTGTGACTGCCCAGCTCCTCTTTCGCCTGTCTCCTCGGGGAAAGCGTGGCACCTCCCCCTTCCCTGGCTCTTCTCCAGGTCCTTAGTGGAGGGTGGCCCCTGTCCCTGCCACCACTGTCACCTTGACCCCTTGTGGAGCCTCTTTGTTTCATGGAAGCTCTAGGATCTGCCCCAAGTCGTGGAAGCAAATACTCTTCATCCCAGTAACATGCAGGTCCAGTGCAGGGCACTCCAGCTCCATGGAGACAGAGACCGGATGCTAGAAGCACCGGCCTCGAGTGTACACCTACTCGGGACACAGGGACTCCAGACACCCGAATCTAGGCCTGCCCTGCTCTCTGAGGTGGTCCCACTTGGAGCGGGGGTTCCCGGAGTGCTGAGGAGGGTGGCGGAGAGCAGATCCGCCTGCCCAGGGAGGGTTCTGTCCTGCTAAGGCCATCAGCGGCTTCTGGCATCACTGAGGCCTCGGATTAGGCTGCTCCTTGTTCCTGTCCCTGGAGCCTTGGGGCCCAGCATCTGACAAAGGAAGGAGGTGTCTGGTTCACAATTCTGTAGCTGCAAGGGTACAGGCTCAGGCCTGGCGAGGTCCCCAGGTGGCTGGCATCACGTGAGGGCACTCATCACACTGTGTGGGGGCAGGAAGCTGGGCGGCTGGGCAGGACCAGGCTGCACATCAATCACAGCCCCCCCTACAGGGCTGGCCAGGGCCCCGGGCTCTTCCAAGGTGGCCCCCATGGCTGTCCCCCTGCTGGGGCCCTGCTCTCAGAGGCTACATGGCCTGCTGCTCCCACCCTGGAGGTCACAGGTCTAGCCGAGTGCCTGGTGATGACAAACTCCCCAGGCCGGTCCCACCCCTAGCTGGCAGCCTCTCCTAGTCTGGGAGGGAGGGGGCTTCACACTAAGGGACAGTAGGGTTCCCCCCAGGTGGCTCTGCTCTGGTTGGGTGTAGAGGAGTGAGGGAAGGTGGGCAGGGCAGGACACACGGCAGCCACGGCTGGAGGCTGCAGAAGAGCCAGGCCAGTCTGTCGAGTGGCTGGGCCCAAGGGCTGAATCAGAAAAGGCGGCAGCTCGGGTACGGGGCAGCACAAGTGCCCCGAGGGCTCAGGAGAGAATGCTGTCCCCAAAGCACCACATTCTGCCGATACCCAGATGCTGCGGGCAGAGCCCAGCTGGCCATGAGGAGCGGCAGACAGGAGTCAGGCTGTTGTTCTGGCTAGCACCCACGGCAGCCTATTACACAGCCACGAGAAAGGAGTCATTCACTCTGCCCCTCCGCTCTCACAAATGCACACCCACGCACATGCATACACAGCACACATGCCTGTGTGCGTGCAAGGATGCCTGAGGCATGGGCACACATGTCTTACACACAAGCATACATGCAAACAGGCACACTGGAACTTGTGCCTGTACATACACACATGCACACGGACCTGCCCAACTTGGGCATGTGCTTGCGAAAACACAGACTCTAGGAACACAGCCCTGGAAAAGCAGCCACAAGCAGGCCAGCCAAAGAGAAGAGGTCAGCATCGTGGCTTCCTGTGCGGCAGAGGCCCTTCCACCCATCCTGCAGGCCAGGGCTGGGCACCACAGGTCCAGCACGTCCAGGGTAGGGTCAGGAGGCTGCCTGGACGCTGGTGGCTGCATTCGGATGCTGGAGCAGGTGGCTGGGCAGGGCCACAGCCAGCACAGAGGCAGGCCTATGGCCAAGGACATGGTGAGAACCCACAGCCCCCAGGCTCGCAGGCTCCCCAGGGATCCTGTGCCTTGCTCCAGTGAAGAGGAAAATGAGAACAGAGCCTCCCTCCAGCAGTCCAACGGATGCAGGCTGCTGTTGGGGGCGACTGTGAGCATCCCCGGCCTGCCCTGGCTCCACAGCAGGCGGGAGGGCTAAGCCTACCCAGGCCGCACGCAGCCTTTCATCTCCAACGGCCGCTGTCTTAAATCTTTAAACAGCACCTTCTGCCGGGTGAGTGCTCCACACAGCTGTGACAGGCGGAGAGGGTGGGGCCCTGCCGTGGGCAGCATGGCCCCCATCTGGCCAGCTGCCCACCACAACTGTGCCCGGCCTCGTCCTGAGGTTGTGGTCCTGGGAGCTTCCTGGACACCAGCTGCCCTCATGGCTGCCCTGCCAAGAGCTCAGTGGTTGGCAGGCTGCTGCTGGGGGCACCGCTGCCTTCTCCTGCCTCTGCAGCCTCCGATGCCCTGGGCTGGGGAGACAAGCTTGGCCACTGCACACTAGCTGCCTTCCTAGGCCCTGGGGTCTCTTGGGTGCCCCTCCCTCCTTCTAACATCAGTTGTGGGCACTTCCTGGGCTGGACTTGGGGCTGGCTTCTGCTCAGCTGGGGCAAAGCCTGCCGTGTCCACCCCTGAGCTTGGACCACCTTGCTTCCTGGGTCTGAGGACATCGTGTCAGAACAGGGAAGGATCTGAACAGCTAGGGTGGGTCCAAATGTGCCTCAGCTCCCCCGTGAGCCCGAGATAGCCCGTCAGTGCATGCGGTGTCAAGTGACATGCCAGGCTATGCCTAGGCAGCAGGACACGGCAGGGCCCAGCTAGAGAGGAGTCTCAGTCCCCAGGTCCCAGGGGGGTGGCTGGGGACCCAGCCCATGAGGAGTGGCCTGCGGCAGCTAGATAGAGACAGGGAGCATGTAGAAGGTCTCTCCCTACTCTCATATGGACGAAGCTCTGCTGTATGTGCCCCGGAAGTACAGAAAGTGGGGAAAGAGCCGCTGTCTGCATCCTACATGGGGGGCTGAGTATCGGGTGCCCTCTCAGCCTCTGTGGGTGTGAGGTGGGGTCAAGCACCCAACCCTACAGGGAGCCCACGACCTGCCACAGGTGGTCCACAGGTCACTCAGGCGGGGGAACAAGGGAGGGCCCCAGCATTCCTGTGCATGGGGTGCCCTTTGGGGAGGGTGGGATGGCAGGGTCAGGAACAGGACTACAGGGTACAGGGCAGAGCCCACTGCCCCACAGTCACCCTGAACTCCGAGTGTAAGGGGTGAGATGCACCCACTTGAACCACGTAACAGCTAGGTGCCTGGCCAAGAGGGGTTCACCCCTCCCCCAAACCTGTGCCTGGTCCACACTGCACCTCAAGTGGCCCAGCTGGTGTTTGTCCTTGAGCAGAGACTGGAGAGCCATCATGGGTCTGCTTCACACCAACCTGGGAGCCGGGACGGCCACCTCCTCCCCTACCTGCTGGCTCAGGCCCGGCTCCTCCTCCGCTCACCATAACCTTTTATGGAGTCACGGCCTGGTCCTGGGTGACCTGTAGATGTGGGGCCTCCCCTCCCATCGCGGCCAGCACTGATCTGTCCTCAGCGTGCAGTGTCCCCAACAGGGTCCCCAAGCCCAGGACTACACAGGGTGCAGTGGCTGCAAATAGCAGGCCTGTTTCCAGGCAGTGTTCTCAGGAGGTGGTCTCCTGACAAAGGGGCCCTGGGAAAGGACCACAGTGCCCTTCCCAGCCACGCCCAGGTGCTCTGAGTGAGTCGGGCATAGAATCAGGGAATGCAGAGCCCAGACAGGAAGGCCGCAGGCTGGAAGCCACTGTGAACAGCCCAAGGTGGGGAGTGGGCAGGACTAGTTCGTCTGGGCTTTGTGGTGTGCTGGGGCTGCCACAAAGGGCTGGGGATGGCTCTGAGCAGGGTCTGGCTGACCAGGAGGGCGTCATCTGTCTACCATGGCCATCCCCCGCCTCTCTGTCCCACTGTGTGGCCCGGGCAGAGGAGGTGCTTGTTGTGTCCTACCTCACGGATAAGGAAAAGAGTCATTAAAGAATGGACAGAACTGGGCTCCCCGCTCCTGGACACAGCTGCCTCCCTGCTCCCAGGTTCCATCCAGGGCAAGCAGCAGCTGCCACAGGGCCCTGTGGGTACAGCATCCCCAGCCCTAGTGCATGCACTCTATTGACCCCAGGAAGGACACTGTGACGGTCGTCATCCTGCACAGCCATCAGGTCATCCCAAGACACAGTCTGGGGACCTTGGCCAAGACCTCCTGCACCTGCTGTACAGCCGCTGCTGCTGGGCAGGCTGCCCCGAGGCCCCGCCCCAGGCTCAGTCCTGTCCTCACCCTGCTGTGGAAAGAGTCGCACCTGCCTGTGTCCCTCCTCCTCCTGGCTGCTGTCCCCAGCACAGCGTCACATTGCAGACAGTGCGCTCTACCGAGACTGTCCCTTCCCACAGTGGGGACCAGGCTGCTGGGGTGAAGAGTCCAACTCACACCATCTGCAGCAGGCAGGCTCGTCTTCCCACCCTGTGCCCCCGGCCACGCCAGTGAGCGAGATCACCGCACATACGCGGAGAAAGACTTGGAGCCTCGTATGTGTCTTCAGCGTGTGTATGAGATGGGCAGAGGGGAGGAGGAAGAGAGGGCATCACAGTGCCCGAGCATGGGGTGATGTCTGAGGATCTCAGAGGCTGTTGATGGCCAGGCAGTCACCACCTGATCAAGATTAAAAGGCTTTCATCACCTGGGACGTCTCTGCCGCTCCCTGTAACGCCCCGCCTGGGTGGTGCCTGCTCTGGCGCTGTCACCACAGCCGCCTCTCTGTCTGCACCTGGACCTCACGCGTGTGGGACACCGAGCCCAGAGGCAATGCGGCTGCCTGTCACCTGTGTCCTGCTCCGTTGCTGACAGACACTGCTCCGCCCGCCTGGGTATTCCCACCCGCATCTCCCTGTAGATATGTTCATTTCTCTTGGGTGTGGAGAAACTTCTGGGGGTAGACGGGGGTTGGCTGAGTTGCCGGGTCTGCGTTTCCCTTCCCAGAAACCACCAGCCTTCCAAAACCACACCTCACAGCACTCAGCATCACTGGACTGTCCGTCCTCGGTCAGTCTGTCCTCAGTCCTTCTGTCCTTGGTCAGTCCGTCCATCCTCGGCCTGTCCGTCCATCCTCGGTCTGTCCGTCCTCAGTTATCTTATAGGGAACAGAAGTGATCCCTCACAGCTCAGCAGCTTTGGTTTGGGTTCCTAATGTTGTTTGCTGTCTGTTACTTTTTACTCGTGGCTGAGACAAAATACCTAAAGCCCAAAGTGGGAAAAGGAAAGGTTTATTTCTTACAGTTTTTGGAGGTTCCAATTGGCTCCAAGGCAGGCGGGCATGGCTGGGGCGCAGTTCATGGTGGCTGCAAACAGCAAGCAGGAACCAGCAAAGAGCAAGACACACCTTCTTCCTGCCATTACATCACATCCTGGCTCCACCCCTTTGTGGGTGTAGCTCTGACACCATCAATCCAAGCACTAGACAATGAACCATCACAAATGCACAGTGCAAACGCATGAGGCCTGGGGGACACAGACATAAACCATGACATTCCACCCCTGGCCCCCAGGACTCATGTACATCCTTTATCAAAAGACATTTAGTCTACCTCCAAGAGTTGCCAAAGTCCTAAGAGCTTCAGCATTGCTGAATAGTCCAAGTCCCAAGTTTTCTCCAAGATCTATGGCAAACTCTTAATTGTAACCCCCTGTACAAATGAAACAAGGTTAAACACTTCTGAAATGCAAAGGCAAAAGATAAACATTACCATTCCAAAAGTTACAAACAGGGGAATATAAAGCATTGGAAACAAAGCAAGTTCAACATCCAGCAGGGCAAACATTAAGTCCTAGAGTTCCACACTCAGCATCTGAAGCAATCTGGTTGCAAGCTCCAAAAGGCTTGGGTGATTCCACCCCCAGGGCACTTCTGGCAATTTCAACTCCTGCAGCTTTTTTCTTAACTCCTCTCTGCTCGCTTTTTGCAGCCTTCCTTGGATCATCCACATTCCTGGCTTTTCCAAACTTCTGGGGTCTCCACTGCACCTTTGGCTTCACACTTACATCTTCACAAATTGCCCTCTTAGGGGCACACTGCTTGGCCAGCCAGGGCCTTTGCAATCGAGGTGGAAGCCGTCTTACCCTCAGATTTTGTGCATTTTCCTTGCACCTAAGATCAGCACCTTGCGGATGCCGCCAAGGTTTGCTGCTAGCTGGAGCAGTAGCCAGGCTTTTCTATCTCTTGGCTGTAGGGGTCAGCTGCCTGGATCGAAGTACTCTGTTTACCTGATTGTGAGGAAAACCTTCTCTATGTTGCCGCCATTCTGGAACCTCATGTGGCCTCTGTTGCCATTCTAGAACCTGGTGCTCTGCAGCTTTCTCCTCTGAGCAAATTCTTTTACCTTTGCAGTGAGGCTGCAAAGAGTGGGGACCCCCTTCCTGGGATGCCCCAGGGCCATCTTTCTTATCTCTCTGTTTCTCCTCAGCAATCAAAATCTCAACTCTGTCTTTACCATCCACAGCCTTCCTAGCATTTTCCTTCTGGCCAAACTCACAGTATTGCAAATAATCCTGCTGGGCTCTTTGCTCTTGATTTGCAACATAAAGCTGGCTAAAAGCCCCCCAACAATAGCCATACCACAGCCTCAGTATTTGATTGCTTTTTAATTTCTTTTTCAAAATTAATCAGTGCATTGCCCTTTGTCTCAGTCTCAGGCAAAGTCTCTGGGCGGGAGAAAAATGCAGACAAACTTTCTGCCAAGCCATAACACACATCATGTGGAGTCCAACAACCAATGCAGTCCTTCTTCCCAGAAAAAACCTTCCAAGCTTTGTCTTTACCATGAGGGTTCCTATCAGCCTTCTGGTCTCCTGAGCTCTGACTAGAATCTCCTCTACAGAACAGCCTAAGCTGCTCCAGCTCTACGCATCCAGGCGACATATCCGAACCTTTCCAAACTCTGCCCACAAGCCATTTCCAAAGCTTCTTGAAAAACATGGTCAGGTATAGTCACAGCAAATGACCCTGAAAGAGTTTTGGCCCAGACAGGACACTGTAGCCAGTAAAGCCTCAGACCGAACCAAGGAGCTCCATCTCCCCCACCCCTAGGAATTTACCTGTGACTCTATCTTCCCCACCCCTAGGAATTTACCTATGGAAGCCAAAAGAATACTAATGGGCTACCTGTGCATCCCTAATGCCCCCTTAGGTTCCACCCCAAACCTAGGCTACTTATATGCCTCCATTCCACGTGTTCCATGGAGAGATCACTGACCACAGGGGGAGATGCTGCACCCCAGGGGATCGGGGGTGTCTCTCCCTGAATTCTCAAAATAAAGGTCATTTATATTTCATACTTCTTATCTTTTCAGCCGCCACAGTTCTATCAGACCCCACTCTTGGTACCAAATTCTGTCTTAGTTACTTTTTACTTGTGGCTGAGACAAAATACCTGAAGCCCAAAGTTGGGAAAGGAAAGGTTTATTTCTTACAGTTTTTGGAGGTTTCAATTGGCTCCAAGGCAGGCGGGCATGGCTGGGGCGCAGTTCATGGTGGCTGCAAACAGCAAGCAGGAACCAGCAAAGAGCAAGTCACACCTTCTTCCTGCCATTACATCACATCCTGGCTCCACCCCTTTGTGGGTGTAGCACTGACACCATCAATCCAAGCACTAGACAATGAACCAAATGCACAATGCAAAGTCATGAGGCCTGGGGACACAGACATAAACCATGACATCTGCCTTTCCTGCCTTTTCATGTTCTTACCACAGTTTCACTTTATGTTTTCTGAAGGGTCTCAAAGTGCTCTTTCTGGGTCTTGATCACTGTCCTTTAATCTGGACGCAACATCTTGGGCGGATCTGTGAACCACAAAGATTTCTCTACATGTGCCTGGTCATTTAGCATCTTAATTATGTCTTCCCATGCCAGTAGGCCGCTTTCTGTTTGTCTTGTTTTGCAGAAGTAAACTTCAACCTCTTCTCCTCCAGAGGTAGCCTTTGTTTGCAGGACACTGCTGCCTCTCCAAAGTCAGTGTTGTAAGCTATAAAAAAAAACTGTGCTAAACCTGGTTGACCTGTAACTGAACCCTTGTGGTTAAAATTTCCCATGAATGTTTGTACAACCATTAACAGGAGATAACCTCAAAACTTCCCCCAGAGTTGTAAATAACCTGGAAACTTCCCAAGTCATAAATAACCTCAAAACATCCCCCCAGAGTGTTTTTCCCTGTGGTCTCAGCTGTGTAACTATTACCTGATGTCCCTCAAGATACCCTGTAACAAAGCAAATTCCTGTGGTTTTAGGTTTTAAATACCCCAGACTCCTCCCAGTCAGGGCGCTAGTCTCCTACTTGCTACTAGGGACTACATCACTGGCCAGCTAAAATAAACGCGTGGCGGTTTTTTCCCCTTAAGTTCTCTGGTGTCTTTTTGATTTTTGGACCCAATTTGGATTGATTTTGGCAGGTGGGCTGCTTAGGCAGGGCTGATCTCCTGTCTCCGCCACAAGTTCTGCATCTTTGCTGCATGGCTTAGACTCAATTCGTCTGCACGGAGCTCCTTGTGGGGCCCCAGGAAGAGGCTCCTCGCCCCTCTAGGCATCCATCAGCGGTGTCTTCCCTCCTCCTGAACTTCGGGTGCTGCTGCCAAGGCCTCTAGATGATACCCAGGATCTGCTTTGGACCCTGGTGCTGTACACCAGATGACTTGTCGTGCTCAACCCAAACTCTGCCTGGAATTCCTGCAGCCTAGAGGCATGGCTTGCAGTCGGCAGTCCGACTCCTCCAGTTCTGTTCTTCGGGATTCTGCTTTTTCTATTTTTGAGCTCTTGCACTTCCAAACAAGTTTTAAGAGCAACTTAAAGATTTCCATAAAATTCTTCCTGGGATTTTGATCGGAACAGCTTTGAGTCTGCGGTTAATCTAGGGAAGCTGGCCTCTCACCAGTCCGGACCCTGTGACCATCAGCCTCCCACCTGCCACAGGGCCTCTCCCTCTGGGATCCAGCAGCACCTTCTCTCTCATTGAAATTCTCGTCAAGTTCTCTCCCCAAGACTGTTTTAATAAAAATAAAAATTTCATTTGCAGTATAGAGAAGCCTGACATGAAAATACATAGCCTATTTAGTTTTTAAATTTTGTTACAAAAGCAATTGTTATTTGAATGTCACTTTCCTGTCATTTGCTGAAAATGTATAAGGTAATAAACTGACTTTTCATATTGATATTGGGTTCTTCATTTTGCAAAACTCACCAATAGTTGTAGCAATTGCCTTTTAGATCCTGTAGGATTTTCTGTGTAGGAAAAAGTCACTCTGTGCCTAAAAACCGTTTCACTCCTTCTTTCCCCGCCGGAAGCCTGCATTTCTCTCCCCAGCCTCATCACGTTGCTGGACCGCCGTGCAGATGATCACACTGGATTTCAGGGGCAGATTGGTTAGCGTTTCTCTATGAGAATGGTATTTGTGAGTCTTTCCAATTCGTTTGTCTGGATGTGTCTTTATTTTGCCCCTGTTCTGGCGGATTGCTCTCCTGGGCGTAGCATTCCGGACTTTTTCCTTCTTTGGGCGCTGAAGGAGGGTGACTGAAGGACGGTGATTCGTTCCTTCGGTCTCCCTGGTCTGCTGAGCCCTCACTTCCCTCTGCGAGTCCCCGTCCAGTGTCTCTGACCTTCCTGGTGTGCCAGCGGCTCATGGCACATTCCCGCATGTGCATGGCATTCCTTTGTGTCTCTCATGTGACATTTTCTAAGCTCCTCAGACCTTTCGGTCGTCCTTTCCATGGGCTTCAGGAGCTTCTATCATTATCCTGAAGCGTTCGCCCCTTCTTGGACTCCGGTCTCTCCTGTTGCCCCTGATAGAGTTATTTCCAAAAGATGAAAAATATTAACAAAAGATGAGAAATATAAAATAAAAAGCAGCCTTTATTCTGAGAACACGGAGAGAGATGACTGGCAACCCCACCGCTGGCATCCGGCGATCTCTCCGGCGGACACATGGCGTGGGGGCCTGTAAATAGCCTCGGTTTGGGGTGGAACCTAAGGCGGGCATTACGGATACACAGGTAGCCCATTGGTCCTAGGTTTGGCGCCATATGTAAATTCCCAGGGGCGGGAAGATGGCGTCACAGGTAACTTCCTAGGGGCAGGGCAAGATGGGGCTTCCTGCTTCCGGTTGTGGCTTTCCTGGCTACAGTGTCCTGTCTGAGCCAAAACCTTTCATATCCCGTCTTATGGTTATTATTATGAAAAGGGGCGAAGATTTCTCTCTTTAACTACTTCCTGCTGGCAAAGGGCGCTGTACTGGAGCCTAGGGGAGTCGACAGGATGAAGGTTGATGCCCAGGTAGACGCTGGTGCCAGGTGTTTTGGCCAGGACAACTTCACTGGTGAATGCACATATGTCAGACTGGAAAAACAAAGAGACAAGATGTTATGAGGAGACATGGCACTGTCATATTTAAGGACCCAGGTGAGGTAGAAGGAAAGGTGCCTTTGATTTAGACATATCATTCTATCAGGACCATGTTGAGGTAGAAACATTTCCACGGTAAGGCAGAATTCTGAAAATTAAACGTGGGGTTAGGAGGAGTGGAGTTATGAGAGGTGATTACTCCCCCATCTGAAAGCATAAAAGTTAAGACGGTAGGTTGGTAAGGCTTGTCTCTGGTATGCATGACGTTGGAGTCTGTAGGCAATACTGCTAAAGAGTCCTGCTGTAAAAATGATCATTAATAGAATGTAAGAAATTAGGAACCAAAGTGGATAACAAAACATGACTTAGCCTGTTAACTGTGGCTGCGAGGCCTTTGTGAGACGGAGACGGGTAGGTGACAGAAGATGAGATGAACACTCAGAACGATCAGATTTAGGGCTGGGAGGGCACCTCTTAGCCTGAGTGATGTGAGACCAAGATGGCAGTCTAGCAACTTTGATTTAGGCATGGTTCGCTGTAACCTGGTTGTAGTCCTTGGAATGATTTGCTGTAACAGAACTTTAGCAAGTATGAGAAAGGCTTTTATGTATCCTGAAAAAGTATAAACCAAGTGAGAAGACAAAAATGTATCTGTGTCTTGACTAGGGTTACCTGAGAAATTGGTGAATAAGAAAGGAAGGGGGTGGTCTATATCACTGAGGAAGGGTCCACCAGCAACAACAGGTAGGAGCTGTTGAGGCCTCAGTGTGTCTAAGTCAGCCTGTATAAAAGGCATTTTAAAATTTAGGACTGGGACCTGCACAAAATAGGCCCTGTTTGTAAATGGCATAGGTTGACCATCAATACCCCATCATAGAGATTGAGGACTTAATATAGCAGCCTGAATACTCAGGAAGAACTCTGTATATATGGCCTCTATGTCCACAAATATAGAGAATGTCTTACCTGAGAGTTTTGTGCGACTTGGAATCTGAGACGGACACCTTAAAGGGGGCTGTTGTTGCCCTGAACTTCCTCAGTCTTCAGCAGCGGATTTTCTGTCGGTGACGAATCTGGCAGTGTCGACATTTCCTATGAGGGCTAGAACTTAGGATGGCTTACCCACTCTCTGGTGGCTAGGACAGTCCAGTAGCCCTGGAGTAAGGTCTCAAAGAATGCCAGGATGGGGCATTTTCTTGCCCAGTATCTTCTGCTGCATTTGAGCGTGGTCCATGGAGGGGGCAGGCAGCTCCACCTTGTGTAGGTTTACCTGTCTCAGAACTCCAAGTGTCACAAGTGTTAAAAATATAAAAAACCATATTAAGATCTCTATAAGGTTTGAAGGTCAAGTTTTGCCTTTTTGTTTGGGATTTGGACTATAGTAGAATTAAGTAAGTATGCAGGAATTTAATATTGGCATTTTGGATTAGAGAGCAGGCTTTATCTGGATGGCATATCGCTTTTTTTTATAGGGTGACATGTAGAATTAACAAAAAAGCTTTAGTCTGCCAAACAAGGCTTTAATGGAAACATTTTGCAGTAAAGGTTTAGCAATCTTATGAATAAATCAATCAAAACTGATCTAATACTGTCAAATTCTGAACACATTTAGTGTTTTTAAACCTGTTATTTGCAGTAGTATGAACCAAGACAAGTAAAATAAAACTTTAAGAAAATCCTTGTCTTGAAATACAGCTAGTGGTTCCCAGCAAAAAGGAATTTATTACCTTAGTTGTTAAACAGGAGATTGGTGAAGGCTTTGATTGATAAACAAGGCTGGTAAAATTATCAGGTGGCCAATAACCTTGATTAAATGGTTTGAGAATTGTAATAAAAAAGCATCTTTTGAGCGGAGCCAAATTGTAAAAAAGCATGCCTGAGCAGAGCCGCTGAGCTGCTGTTTTGCGGCGCTCCGGCAGAGCACGCCCAGTGGGTGGGGCAAGCGCTGGGATGTAGCATGCAGGGGCGGGCTCGGACTGCCCCCGGAAACGTGTAAGGTGGCAGCGGCGACGACGGCGCATGGGGGAGGGAGGGGCTGGGACGGCACATGGGGGAGGGGCTGGGAGGCGGCCCGACACAGTGCACAAAGCTGGAACTGCTTGCAGGGCTCGAGGATTAGAAAGCCAATTTAGGAACACAGCTGGGTTTTGATTAGCCTCCTGGACCTGTTTTAAAAGTTTGTTATAGTTAGTATGCTTGACCTGCTCTGGCACAGCTGTAGGCCTAGAATCATTATCAGCGGTGTTTACCTGTCTGTGATCAGCTTCTTTTTGAACTGCTTGCCACAGTTGATTCCGTTCTTGTGAGCTGAGAGTGGTATTTAGAATCCCATAACATCCTTAAAATGTAAATCATAACAATTAGTAATGAATTTAAATTGCCTGATATAATTCTGTGGGTCAACAGAAGAGCTACCTAATTTATGGGCAGTCTGGGATAGATCAGAAAGGGAAAAAGGCACATGGATGTTAACAAGTCCCTCGGGGCCAGCTTGCTCCCGAAGTGGAAGCAGAGCCTGAGGAGAAGATTCCAGAGCAGAGGGCCATTGAGCAGCTATCCTTCCGGTAGGCGCATGTGAGCAATCATCTGTAGAGCGGCTACAGAGCTGCTGCCGGTCACCCTGGGAAACACGAGCAGATGGCATCTCACTGTGTGCCTTGTAGTGAGAGGACTGCTGTTGGCAGCACAATGAAGTGTCATGTGCACTGCAACAGGGCGGCTGTTGTAGTTCACAAGAGGAGCCACAAGGAGACGCCTGTTGACAGTGAGGGTCCTGGAAACATGGCGGCGCCCTGTCACGTGACCCGAAACATGGCGGCGCCCTGTCGCCATGTGGCCCTCCTGAACATGGCGGCGCCATGCCACGTGGCAGAGGGTTGCAACATGGCGACTGTTCCCCGCGCAAGCTGGAACAATCACGCGACCTGCTGGAAGGACATAGCGACCGAGACCTAGTATGGTGGGCGGGCGGTGAGAATGCTGTAGGGGATACAGAATTCTCAGGATTAGTCGGAGACTGAGAGGAAGCACTAACAGAGGGATCAGAGCTGCTGGGAGAGTTATGGGTCCTGGAAGGTGGAGAGGGAGACTATCATACAGCAGGAGGTATCTGCGACGGAGAGGGATTAGAGCTGCTGAGAGAATCAGGCATAGGGGAAGGAGAGAGCGGTCCAGCGGGAGGTAACGGCAGGGAACGAGTTTGGTGGTAGGCAGGCGGTGGCCAGGAAAACAACGGAGGGCAGGACGGAAAAGTTTGTGGCGCGGTAGAGTTAGCTAAAAGTATCTCAGCGGGAGCACAAGACTTAATGAGAGATGGGCGTGTTCTCAGAATAAGAAAGGCTTGGACATAAGGGAGTTCTAATAACTTGTTGCCAGCTTGACAAAAATCATACAAGTTCCTGAGAATGCAGGGGTCAAATGTTCCTTGCTGAGGCCAAGGCTTGCCGATAAGCAGGTAGGTTGGCCAGACCTCCTGGCAGTAAAAAGTTAGTTGTTTAGTTTTTATGGTACCTTTAATTTTTAGAGTACATAAATTGGAAATTAGGCATTGTAAAGGCGTCTTTTGGGAGTTAGAAAATACGTTCCCCATGACTGATTCAGGCAAGAAAAAAAAACTGGAGGTCCAGATCAAGTCGTCACTTATTTGTGGCACCACGCGGAGGCTATGGCTACGGTTCCAAAAACTCGTAAATTCCAGTCGTCACTGAGAGATTTACGAATGGAGTCTACGTGGGGTCAGTAACAGTTTTGCCCATGAAAGCGCAAGGCTTTAAGGGAAGTGAGGCATTCTTTCAGTGTGGGCGGTCCCAAAAATCTCTGCTTTGGGCTATCCGAACCCAAAGAACGTGAGAGATTTTGTGGGCGCAGGTTTGCCCAGAAAGAACCCTGCCCTGGGCGGTCCTAAGGACGTGAAAATGCACAGACCCACGCAGACGGGGAGAACATTCCATTGGGGCTGCCCAGTGTGAAAAGTTCCCCGGGGAGTGCTCACCTGAAATCAGTCTGGCCGATGTGGAGTGCAGGTGGCTGCCGACAGGAACGTCTTGGGAGAGGAAAAAGCTCGGGATTAATCCAGGATGTTATCTGGTTATCGGCTAGAAGACTTTGGGTATGTGGCCCAAGAGTCAGTTGCCTGCCGATCGAGTCACGGCACCAAATGATAGAGTTATTTCCAAAAGATGAAAAATATTAACAAAAGATGAGAAATATAAAATAAAAAGCGGCCTTTATTCTGAGAACACGGAGAGAGATGACCGGCAACCCCACTGCTGGCGTCCGGCGATCTCTCCGGCGGACACGTGGCATGGGGGCCTGTAAATAGCCTCGGTTTGGGGTGGAACCTAAGGCGGGCATTACGGATACACAGGTAGCCCATTGGTCCTAGGTTTGGCGCCATATGTAAATTCCCAGGGGCGGGAAGATGGCGTCACAGGTAACTTCCTAGGGGCAGGGCAAGATGGGGCTTCCTGCTTCCGGTTGTGGCTTTCCTGGCTACAGTGTCCTGTCTGGGCCAAAACCTTTCAGCCCCGCCTGCCCCTTCTGGGCCTCCACCACCCTGCCCACCGGCCCAGCCCCCACACTGCTGCCCTGGACTTTGCTCTTCAGCCACAGCCTCCAGCCAGGGTTCCACCTTGAGCTCTGGTTCTTGGACGCAAACATGTTCAGCCTCCTGCAGACCCATCTGCTCAGTCATCACGGCTCCATCTCCTGTGTGTGTCGTCGCCCCTTCCTGCCTTCCCCCACGACAGGGAGGGCATCTGCTCTGGCCAGCCGCCTGCCCTCCGGAGGTCTGGAAGTTTCTCCTGTGCTCCGGGGCTGTGGAAGACTTGTGTGGGGGCGGATGCTGTCATGGAGTTGTGCAGGCTTTTCTAGGCAAAGGCCATGCCCGCTGCACCGCCTGCCCTGTGCTGGCTGCTCAGCCGTCTTCACGCTCCCCAGGTGTGCAGCAGCACGCCTGCCAGCTCAGGGCTGTGAGGCTCACGTGCAGGACTGGGGGTCTCCGGTTCTGGGCCTCTTTCGTTTCCAGGCTCCCTGCTACTTGCTTGCTTTCCGGCTCCTGGGACTGGAGCGGTGCAGCCTCCTGCCTTGAGTGGCTGCCAGGCACAGGACACCCCCCGGGCGTCTCTCTGAGGATAAGGCAGGAGGAGCCTGGCCTCAGCCACCCGGCGACTTCTAAGCTCACAGCTCGCATTGGGTGCCTCTGGTGTCTTCCGGCATCGTCACGTATATTTTGTCTGGGTTTATATTTCTAGAAGGGTTGCTCTGAGACCAAGCTCTTCCTGATATTTTCTGGTGCATGTTATTCAACTGAAAGATAAAAGGGTTACTGTCCTAACTTGGCTTTTCTTTGGTTACATAGGGCTGAAAATTGTTCCTTAACTTCTGATGGCCAACCTTTGCCAAATATGCACAAGATGATTGTAT